AAACTTCTTTGGTTCAATCAGACCCGGTATTTTTTATCGTTATATTTAATTTCTTAGCTCACTGCATCAGGTACCGTCTACGGTGGAATTCACACTGTCACTTTGATTCCTGGAGATGGTGTGGGTCTGGAAATGGCCACCTCTGTCAAAACTATTTTCAGAGCTGCCGGCGTTCCTATTGAATGGGAACAATTCGATTTAACTGGTTACACCGACTCCAAGGATGATACCCTTGTTAGACAAGCCATGGACTCTATTCGCAAAAATAAAGTCGCTCTAAAAGGTTTGTGGTTTTTGTGTTAACCATTTAGGTCTTCTTTACACTCCTACCAACAGACTGGGACATGTATCATGGAACGGTATGGTTCGTAAAGAATTAGATGTATATGCATCCACCACTTTGATCCAAAATTTACCGGGTAGTTGGCCAGTCAGACACAAAAATGTGAACTTTGCTATCATCAGAGAAAACACAGAAGGTGAATATTCTGGAAAGGAACATGAGGTATTTTTTGTGAAGTACGCTTACATTTAGCCTGTCCCTGGTATCGTAGAATCTCTTAAAGTATCCACTCATGCTAAAACCGAACGTATTGCTAAATACGCGTTTGATTTTGCTTTAAAAAACAAACGTAACAAGGTTACCATTATCCACAAGGCAAATATCATGTAATTTATGTATTGTATAATGTTAGGAAACTTGGTGATGGTCTTTTCCTTCGAACCTGTCGTGAAGTTGGAAAACGTTATGAATCCTTTGGTATTAAAACCGAAGATATGATTGTTGATAATGCTTCAATGCAAGTAAGCTTGATTTTATTAATTGTAGCTTGTTTCAAAACCTCATCAATTTGATGTTATCGTCTGTGGTAACTTATATGGAAATATCCTTTCAAACGTCGGTGCTGCCCTTGTAGGTGGTCCAGGTATCATTCCAGGTGCCAAGTAAAATATTTTGTGACTCTAACCTCTAGCATCGGTCGTGACTTTGCCGTATTCGAACCTGGTTGTCGTCACGTTGGTAAAGATATTATGGGTACCAACATGGCCAATCCAACTGGAATGATTCTTTCATCCGTTCATTTATTACGTCATATTGGATTAAGTGATCATGCCGATCGTATTTCAAAGGCTGTCACCAAAGTCATCAAAAAAGGAAATGTTTTAACTCCAGATGTTGGTGGTACCAATACAACCACTGATTTTACTTTGGCCGTTATTGGTGAATTAGATTAAGTTTTGTGCTTATTTATAAAAATGCAGTTGAACGAATATTAAATTTGTATTGGATTGTTAAATAATTTGAGTAAGATTGTACGTCTCTACCTAGATCTAAACAAGTACGCCCAATATATTTGCCCAGTTTATTTTAATTAATAAAGAAAGTAAGCTTAAAAATCCAACTCCAAATGCTCTGATTAGCATCTTTTCACAAAACCTCTGGGACTCCCAACCATAAAAGGAAGTGAAAAGTATCAAAATTTAACCATTTATACCATTGATTTGTCAACTTTTGTTTTTTCCATTTTTGTAAACAGCTAATGTCGTCTCCTCCTTCTCCTATGGTTTGGTTTCTGCTTCTGGACTCTGCTACTGGACTGCCGTATAAGGGAACTAGTGCCGATTATGTATGTCTACCTCCTGCTTCTGTTATTGCTCAGTTTCGAGAAGCTGTCCAACTTGAGTACGACAAACCCAACTACCTCCGAGATATTCCATCTAGTGCTCTACTCGTTTACAAGAACAAGTCTTCGTTTGACAAGAGAAACGCTGCCGTTGAAGATGGAAAGGAAGAACCGCTGAAATCCTCTCATTCTCTGGATAATCTTGGAACAACAGTAAAAGATGCCCTTATTGTCGTCGTGTCGTCATCTGCAGATACTTCAAGTGAAAAGTTTACGAATGATATCCTTCTTGCCATTAGAGATTTGACACTTGAAATCAGAAACCGGAACAAGTTTCTGAAAAAGATCGCAAAGAACGACTTTAGCTTCTTGATACCCAAGAGTTATAAATCTGACAACCATGATATTCGTCTCCAGTGGTTGATTCATTACGGAATGGTTTCTCCAACATCTACGGACTTACCTCAAGATGCGTACTGTCATTTGCTTGGGGTACAAGTTCCTTTGAAGTACCTCAATTGCTCTCATCTATTCCAAAATCGTTGGCGTAAACATGTGCACGACTTTGGATTATCGAATATCAACTCTGGGAAAAATATTCTCATTCTGCTCAAAATTTTCGAAGAAGCATTTGACTGCGGCCGCTTTGTTCTTCTCGTTGATAAGCAGACAGGTCTCATTCGGTGTAAAATCATTGATAATGAATGGAAAAACAAGAAACTAAATGAAGCCATGAAGGACGTGTTCCCCAACTATCAGATTGGAGATGTTGATTTTAAAGGGAAGACTTGTTTTGGTGATTTTGACGGACAAGAACTACATTTTTTAAATACAGAACGTCCCTTCACGAGCTGTTTATCGTTTCATGCATTTGTGGCTCGCGAACATGCTATTGATTACGGATGGATAGACGAAAATGAATTGAAAGAATTGGATGATGACGAAATGTGGTCGGATGGTTACCTTGAAGAAAAAACCAGGAAATTCATTGAAGAATGGCGGATGGATGTTTGTAGCTAATTGTCTACTACTTAAATTGAATCGATAACCTCAATTTTAAACATATTGCATGTTTTTATTGTATATCCAAATTCACGATACTAGTAGACAGAACCATGTCTTCTTGAGTAGGGATCTCATATCGTCTTCAAATAGTTTAAACTGTTTGGGGAGGCGATTGAGTTGTCGTCAATGGTTCCACTATATGGTTTCCAGAATGAGCTTGATGAATAATCTACTGTGGAGAGAGCTTTTGCTAAGTCACTACTGTGCAACATTTTGAGATTCGTTGCGAATTGTTGTCCAGGGTAATTCAGAGTATAAACGATAGTAAACGATGTATATATCAACATCCTGCACTATGGCTAGTCTGTTGGATCCTCCATTCACTAATCTCATGGTAATCAATTTGCTCAACTTTCAATTGCATTTCTGGCAATCTTATGAGTATCCTTTCACATACTGTCCTGTACAAAACTCTACGTCCCACTTACTTGCGATGAAAGGGAATGAATTTATTGATTTCTAATTAATAAAGTGAGCTTATAAATTCCAGCAACTCCAACTCAGTATAATATTAGCCTTTGCAACTGTAGCAACTACTGACTATACAATCGATCAGGCAACCATTTTGCCTCTCTTTGCTCCTAGTTGGTTGCTACTTATATCACCTCAGACAGTACACTTAATCCAAATACTCGGAAAGTATATTACCACTCTCTGCTCCAAGTTATGTGCTGCCTGTGCAGGACGGAACATGGGACAGAAAGGGTTAATATGTCCAGGTTTCTCTGGGACTTGATCAACGGCAGGCGATAGTATCGATCAGACAATCATTTTACCACTCTCTGCTCCAAGTTATGTGCTGCTTGTGCAGGACGGAACATGGTACAGAAAGGGTTAATTTTGTTGTCATCAGATTAAGAATAGATCTTTGATTGAAATTCACTACTATTTATACCAATCAAAAGTCAATGTCAGGGAAAGAATCATTGACGTATTGCTGTAAAACATTGATGTATCGTTGTACATTGACAATCAGATGACAAAACTCTGATCTGTTGAAAAGCGATACTTTATACTTTTGAGTGAGTGTTCCAGATCATTGAGTTGGGAGTACTCACAGTGATTCTGAATGGATGTCCTAGAGGATGCAGTCTAACAATTGGTGAGGATATTGGTTGTTTTACAGAGATGCTTTGTCAGGAGTAGTAGTGGAAGAGCCGAGTTTGTTTATAGCGAGTATTGGGAGCCAAAATTCAAGAAAGACAACGTGGCGGAGTGGTTAACGCGATGCCCTGCTAAGGCATTCCTCTACGAGGGCGCAGGTTCGAACCCTGCCGTTGTCGATCTTATTTTTATTTTTTTAATTTTTTTCGAATCCTTAATAAAATCCGTAGTTTTGATTGTTTGTTGTACTAAATGAATTTGTAAGTAAAGACAAGAGTCTAAACGATGAAAAGATACTTGATCCGAGTCGGTTTGATCACGTCATCAGGACTATCGTTCATGAGAATCGGTTTTGAGTTTCCATTTTACATCAAAGCACCCTGATTAGAGAACTTGGTCATTAATCTTTCTAGTCTCCTTCAAACACCGTGAAGTAAGGAACGTTATTAGGGTGTGATGTCCACCAGTGGTCAATTTCCCCATTGTCCTTTAGCGTAGGCTGCAGGTACTGCATCTGCTCTGCAGTTTTAGTACCATCTTGGCATTTGCTTTGTTGTACTGATTTTTTTTTATGGGATTGGTATAATATTTTGCATAAAATGGCAAGACAACGTGAATTGAATTTTGAATTTTTAAACATACTTTATTAATTACAAAGTAATAAATTCACTTTAAGCGCATCTAGGTATTGGGAAACAGAAGTGAGAGTTAATTCAAACATAAGCGAAGGAATCAGTTGATTCATGGGATGTTGGATAAGGTTTGGGGTAAGGATAGTAAGACGGCAGATTGTGTGATTGAATAGATTCAAGACTAGAGTAGCAATCAAGGTTGAGTAGTCCTTTAGATCCAAAAAAATATGTACAGGGCACATCGGTTTCAATTATTGCGGTTCCAACAGTAAATACCCATTCATCTGGGGCTTCCATCCATCTTTAATGCGTGGTTTTTATGTTGTTATACAGTGGGAGGGCGAATAAACAAAATTTCGTGTACGAATTCTCCAAGGATTTACTACCATTTGGCTTTAACTTCCAGTAAGGAATATTCTGACAATGAGGGAGATACTCATAGTGATTCTGAATGGATGTGTTAGAGGATCCAGCCAAATACGTGGTGGAGATATTGATTGTTTTAGTGGAACGTTTTGTTAGGGCTAGTTGCGGAAGACTAAAGTTTGTTTATAGCTGGTATAATTTCGGGAAAGACGACGTGGCGGAGTGGTTAACGCGAATACGCCGCTATGTATTCCTCATCGAGGGCGCAGGTTCGACTCCTGCCGTTGTCGGGCTCACTCTCTTTTTTCTCTTTGGAATCCTGACTAAAAACGTTAGGTTCGCTAGTTTGTCATGTTGGTCCATTTGTTCATCATGGAAAGAATCAAAGTGATAACAAGATACTTGACCAGAGTCAGTTTTGATCACGTCGCCAGACTATCTTTCATACGACTCTGTTTGGAGTTTCCATTTTACATCAAAGCAGCCTTCAACGGAAACGAGAATATTTGGACCTTTGCTACAGAAAATACATTTCTATGACTTCAAGTATTAATACCAACCTGGACGTTTTGTTCATTCACTCACTAACACAATCTGATAATCAAAAGTCAATATCTGCATTAATCAAATCAAATTTATTAAAAATATCAATCACACCAGCTTGATGAGATATTCTATGATAAACTATACTGTTGAAAAACAGTTGGTAGTGTATCAATGGTCAAACCATCACAAAGTTCATTTATGATTGAAATTGGTGGATTAGGAGATGAAGACCAATTAGGTGACGGAGTATTACGATGCCAATTGAAATCTTGAACTTGATTAAATGGATTATTATCAACATCCAGTTCTACTTCCTATCAAATGTCAATTGTTGTTGATAATATTTTAATAGTGATTGGATTGAAATAGTTTGATATTGATTACCTTTAATCTGTTGGAATCAAATAATGGTTGGATAAACTTCATTTGCGTACAATCTTCAATGATGGGGTTAGAATTGGTATGAGTGAATAAAACCAAATTTGTTGAATTATGACAACGTAATTGTCTGGATGCCATAACAAGGATACTGTTTTGAATATTTTGAATTAAAATAGATCCTTTGACAAATACTCCAGTTACAATACAATTGGACAAATTATTCAAAAATAAAGATGTTAAATTACATTGAATTTGAATTATACAGTGATCGTAATCTTTCAAAGTTAAATCAGTTTGGGATGGATCATCAAAGGTGATTGTTTGATTTTTGATGATTTGTAGTGAATTGATAGATTCTGCTTGTGGGGTACTGGTTTGTGGTGTTGATACTATCTCTGGAGTTGAAGCTATACTAACAGATGATTTTTCTTTCTTTTTAAAGCTGAATTTCTTTTTGGCAGGTTCTAAAGAATTCAATTTTACTTGCGTTTCCTTGATGAACTAACATTTTAGCGACTGGACATCATTTTACCTTCAAGTATTGCATTTGATCATAAGTAGGCAAGTATATAGTAGCATCAGTAACTTTTTGAGAAAGAGCAACCAATTTATTTTTAATTATTGAAGTTGATTGAGTATCATTTTCATTCAAAATTGTTAGAATTGCTATAGATTAGAAGATCATGATGGTAAATACAATTCTTTTCTATAACGAAACTGTCATGGAATTCTTGAGCTGCTTGTGTGGTAGACTTTTCACTAATCATCAAGTGAAGTAAACAATTTCTCACTTTTCATTTCATTTTACCAAAACATTGAAACCATCTATATTTGAATACTTCAATATTTGTGATCGATACATTGGAAGATAAATCAGGAAATAAATTGAATATCAAATGAGATGAATGTACCGATACATGCATGCGATAACCATTCATTCTGTTACAATGGTTCATGAACCTTATGCGCTCTTATGTTGATATTCATTAATTGGTCAGTCAAATATATGGTTATTCATTTTGTCACAAAATTCAAGTAAATAAACGCGTAATTCAAACTCCTTCCAACCTTACCACAAAATGGATAATATACCTCAACTCAGTATAGATATAACGCCAACATTTGAGTTGGATTTACCTCCCCCAATATCTGGAAGACCGGAAAGACAGCAATTGCGTCCTGAAGCTCTACTATCTGCAAAACGAATTGACGTTAACCAAGGATCTAGACGCACATCAATTCGTAAAGAAAAGAAAGACACCAAACCAGCACCCAAAATATTCTCATTGGAGCAAAGGAAAGAGTTTGAGGAAATCTTTTCGCTGTTTGATACAGATGGATCAGGAACAATGGAAATCAAGGAGTTTAAAGTTGTACTATGGGCTATGGGATTTCAATTACAGTAATGCACTGCGTTTATGACCTTTGTATAGGGATAATGAAGCAGAGAATATGATTGCAAAGTTTTTTAAACTCACATTGGCCGAAGCGTCAGATATTCAGTTATCAAAGGCTGATTTCGTCAAAATAATGCTAGAAGAGCTCGTAAGACTCTATTGATTCCAATTCATTCTGTAGGGAAGGAAAGATACAACAGAATCATTAAAAGTCGCGTTTGAATTATATGATGTTGATCGGAAAGGGTACATTGTGTTGAAAGATATTAAACGAGTTTGTAAAGAAGTTGATGAGCCTGTCACTGATCATGAATTGGAACTTATGATGAGTCATATCGATAAGAGTGGGGATGGTAGTGTAACTTTGGATGAATGGATCACTGTAATGTCTGACTACTAAATGAAAAATATAAGAAATAGAAATATTACAACACAACTCGAAATGGTAGTTTATGGCAGAAGCGAAATATATTAGTTACAGATATAATTTATGGAACCCATTCTTTTTTGGTATATCTACATTTAGTTTTTATATAATCATACTTTTTCGGCAAATGGGACATTTTCTATTGTGCTGAAGAGAGCCTTGTAAACATGGTTCGCAAAAAATATGGCCACAATTTGTGGATACTAATTGCGTATCCGCCTCAGCTAATGTTTGGCAGATGACACATTTTAGCATCGCAGGATTCATTGGGGGCTCTTCACGTGGAGGTGCCAAATTTACTGGTGGTCTGATAGGGTTCAGTTTAGGTGGAGTTGTTGGATTGTACGTTGGATTGATGCCTCCCAAGCTTCTTAATTCTTCTCTAAGGGTATCTACAAAATATTAAACTTTGAGATAATATACCAAGCTCACCATTTATCGCTGCAGTACGAGTCATATTAAACATATTTTGGTTACGTTGCTGGAGAGTGTCTGAAGTTAAACCATACTATAATTACCTAAGAGTCTAAGCAAACCGCTTCCAGAAGTAGTTGGGTTTACAATAAATTGCTGCATTCCGTTGAAAACCAGACCAGAGTTTGGATTTGACTGTCTTTGCTCTAATAATTCTACTTCGGGGTTGTTAGATCTTGTTGATAGTAAACGCACAGATGGAGTTGGTGGTTTGTCCAGACTAGAGATAAAGACAACATCATCGACAGGTTCAGCTCTACCCTGTGCCCTATTCAGAATTGTTCCTGTTCTACGAGCTCTATGAATCTTAGCAGTGGTAGTAGTTGGAGTTAAAGTTGGAACAGCTGATTGTTTTGCTCTCTTTGATCTTATTGGCCTAGATGTACTTGAGGAAGCATTATCTTCTACAGCGGTAATTTGTATATCGGAATCCGGTATTAATTGAACAGTTGGAGATGATAATTTAGCGTCTGATTTTCTTTTAGTTTGCAATGACCAAGAGCGTTGAATTGCTTCAGGAGTCGTTAAATCGATGATTTCATTTTCATTTTCAGCCATTTTTAGTGAATTTGAATAGAATATAAAGTAAAGATTGAAAAAGGGAGTTTGAATTAAAAAAAGTAAATTCAATGACTGTTAAACAAATCATTATAAGAACACACTAGGAATATATTAATAAATACAACAGAGTGCTTGGTATGTCATTCATACTCTTACTCTATTAATAACCACAACCTTACTGGTTCAGAACCAAACCATGAATTACTTCATGGTGAGTTTGATAACACACGATGCCGAGCCTTTGTAGGCAACGATCGGTTGGTTTGTTGTTCTTGAAACATGACTTCATATTGGCTAGACTTGCTGCCACTCTGTTACAAATAGCCCAGGTAAAGCCCATCAATGATATAAACATTCACTTCTTGTTGATATTTCTTCATTAATTATCATGTACCAAATCGTTAAATTATTTGCTCTTATCGCTTCTTTCTCTACTGTTTATACCGCTCCTGTCCCTCAAGATGATGTATCCCAAATTACTGACTTATCTCAAATCACTTCCGATATGTTGGAAAAACGTCAAGACACTGAACAACCATTGGAATTTGCTGACTTTGATGCTTTGGTTGATGAAAATGCCTTCTCAAAATAAGCGTCTTGTAATATAAATCATTTATCTTCTACTCTCTTTGTTTTTACTCTGTACGTTTAGTGTTTAGTAGTTAAAATAGTAAATTGTTATGCTAATTCAGTATCGTTTTGACCTATGTTTATAAATTAGTCAGTCATGTGGTTAATCCACGTAAAATCAAGTTAAACGCGCGATAATTTTGCAAGTTTATCTCTAAACATCAATGAGCGTATCAGTAAGTGTTGGCTGGGCCAGATTCTTCTTCTTTATTGGAACATTAACATCTATTGTTTCCTTGGGAGGTGGGGGACTTGTTTTACCACCATTCAAAACTTTTCCGTGGTTAATAACATCATCAAGTCAAGTTGGGATTTATGGAGCTTGCCCATTACAAGATACTCAATTGTCATCCATAATTACTTACTCTCCTGATTGGCAAAAGATTCAATCTACATGTGTAACGCTCTTTCAATCTCAAAATACTGCAACCCCTGTAGGAAGAAGTATTCAACACATCTATTAATCATTTAGTGTTACCAAGAGATGAAGTGATGATTGCAGGACTCCATGGATTAGCTTTAACATTGACAATTTTCTCCCTCCTATATTTGCGAAAGAAGAACACTTTAACTTCCACTGTATTATCATTCTCTGGGTTTTTGCTCCATGGCATTTCAACTGGACTTGCTACTTGGAACTTTTATAAAATTCGAACTGACCTTGCCAATGGTCTTGACCGTAACACCCCCATTTTGGTTGCTGATACTAATACAAGATTTGGTTTGGGGTTGTATGTCGCAATTGGTGCCAGTGTATGCTTGTTATTCGGCTCCGCATTAAGTTGGCTATCTATTCGCGTACGCTCCTCTGAAAAGTTTGGTCAATGGAACGCTTAGTGTCTATTGTTCAATCCTCACACAAATCAAAAGACTA